AGAGCGGAGCAAAACCTGGATTTTCTCTCTTTAAGGAGAAAAATGTGGGAAAGGGCAGGTTTCCCCTCGCAGGCTGGCAGAGTTCCGGCCTGCTGGGGAAACTGGGAGGAGGGCTGTTGGGCAGGGGGTGTCGTGTGCATGTGTGCACTCACACATGCACATGGCAGCCTGGAGAGTGGCTCCCACAGCTCCCCGCAGGTGGAGGGGGGAAGGGGGGGGAATTGAGGCCCCATAGTGAGGGAGGTACTTGGGCATGGCTGGGGACGAGGCTGCTCCCCACTACTGCATGCACTCCTTGTAGGGGACGGTGGAGGGCACGTGCCCCCAGATCTGCGTGCAGGAAGGCTGCCTTCTGTGGGCTCAGGGCTCCCTGCCCTGCTGCCCCCTCGTCTCCCTGGGGCCTCCATGGCTCAGCAGGTGGGACCCCACGCAGCAGGGCTGGGCAGGGAGGCTCATGCTGCTGCTGGGAGCCGTGCCCTGCTGCTGCTGGGCAGGCAGGGGGCAGTTCGCCATGGTGTCCCGGGGCTCCTAGTGGCAACACGAACCTCCATGCCCAGCCCTGCTCTGTCCTGTTGTGCCAGGTCCTGCCCGCTGGACTGTGGAGGCCCCGGCGGGAGGGCAGCAGGATGGGGAGTCCTGAGTCCGCAGCCTTCATCCCACATCTGCCCCCGTCCCCCATTGGCTCCTGTCCAGCCATGCCACCGATAGGGGAGAGGGAGCTGGGCTCCAAACTTCGCTCCATCGCAGCGGCTGCTGCCTCCCACAGGCAGCAACCGGGGCTTGGGCATTGCTGGGGGAGCAGGGGTTTGTGGGCCCAGGTCCCTAGTCCCATAGTTCTGGCAGCTGGGGGGGGCTCCTCTCCAGCAGGGCTGGGGGGGCAGGGGGCTCTGCAAGGGGAGTGAGGGGTACCAGTAGAGCCCAGGGGTGGGAAGTGAGGGGCAATGGCATGGGCAGGGCACTGGCATATTGAGGGTGCTCAGCACCACAACGAAGTGGAGCGGGGATACGGCTACAGCTGGACCTGTGTCCTGGTGAGGGACAGGGGCAGAGAGCTCTGATTTTTTTTTTTTTTCCATGATTAACCCCCCCCTCCCAAATTACCAAAATTTATAGGTATTCAGAATTTATTATAGTGAGGTGAGGCACGGGTAGGCTTCCAAATTTACCTTAAAATTGTAAATATGTCAGCAATATGGATTTTGGGGGGGGGGTTAATCTGAGAATTTGTGACCTTTTTTGAAATGGAAAAATCCAGGACCCTTTCTGATCGCTCAGCCTTATAACTGGAGCTGATTAGAGCACCAGGGCATGTTGATGTGACGCTTAGCAAGTTGCAAACAGACCAGTCGCAGTTCTCTTGCTAGGAGAATTTCGGATCCTCTTGACAAGTGTGCAAGAGCCGTGGTGTCACTTTTTACTAGTTACAGCATATTTTAAGACAAAATAATGTGCAGCCCTCTAAACAGGTGGAGCAACAACGTGAATTCTAAGTGTCCATTGCAGTGCTGAAGACAAACTTTCTTTTGCACTGCACTACTTTCTCCCGTCTTTCAGTTGATTCCAGTGCTGTTTATTTTAAGGTTTTGATATCCGAAACAGGTGCAATTTGCCTGCTTTGAATGCTGCTGGATGATATCTGTTCTCCATCTTCCTGCTCTTACCTATTCCCTGTAAATGACAGTCATTTTTCAGATGAGTAATAACTGATCCTTGTATCCACAGAAGGGACCCTCCTCGGGGACTGACAGAGTGAAGAAAGGTGGATCCTATATGTGCCATAAGGTAAAACTAAAAGCCCATAGTGAAACTTGCTGGCTTAGCTAGTGGGCTGTTAATTGCTGTTTTCTATTTTTAATCTACATTTATTTCTGATGATGTAACAAGACTAGGTTACACTAAATATATTTGGCAGCTACTGTTTGACAGGAGCTAGATCGATGTGTGAATAGCTTAAAAAAATTAATGAAATACTGCGTTAAAACTATGTTAGCCTTTGTGTTGCTCAAACTAACCGTCATAGCTATGCCTATGCAAGCATCTCACTGAAGAAACAAGTACTTAAATTCTGCTATTGCCCATGGTTGAAATGAAAAACTCATTGCATCTAAAGCTGTCACTACAAAAACTGTCCCAGCTCCATAGAGGATAGTAAGTCTATGGTTATTCTGTTGGTTTAGTAGATGTAGTTTCTAGGCAAGTCCAGCATTAGCATGCAGTATCTTGACTATAGAGGCTCCATATTCAGCATTTGAAACAAACAGCCCCTTAGCAAGTTTAAGAGATGTTCCCTTGCTATTGTATCACTTAACCTCATTGACAGATGGCAAAAGCAGGAAT